TAAGCCGGCGACTGGTTGGTGCTTTTCCTGCCAGACTTTACACTTGAAATGGCAAGCTACTTTCCACCTTGTTTTAATGTCTGCTTCCTTTGGGCACATAAAATCAATGATATGACTTGTTCCTGAAACATGATTCTAATTTTCTCTGTGGTGGCTATCCTAGGAAAAAGACCAAAACATGTGGAACTAACTAGGCTGCTTGGAATTGCATGTCTACTGTGTTGTTTTGAGCTGAAAAATCAGGTTATGTTTTTGTGTACTTTGCATGTGTGCGTGCAGGCTTCCTCTTAATTGCGCAACCACTTATTGTCAGTTGAGTAATTGCTTCTTCCAATGGCTTGTCCTGCCAGGTAGTGTAAAGTCTGCTGGGAGGTCCTTCATTCCTCTGCAAAGATGGATAGGGAGGTATGAAACTGGGTGTATTAAGGTGTATTACAAAAGCTTGGGCTACAAATTATTATTGTAATTATCTTTTGAAATGGGTTTTGTGAAATGAAAGAGAGAAACTTTCATGTCTGTTGTTGTCATGTATGTAGCCCTCACCGTCACTGGTCTTTGCCCTGCTCTCTGCAGTTATCCCTCTGGTAATTGTGGGTCAATAGGAAGTGCCGTGTTTTCATGTTTCAGCTGCCTGCCTTAGGTGGAACACCAGGACCAGCTCTTAGGTGCTGCCATTGTAGCTGTTGCGACCCATCTTTCTTTGATGTCTTCCCAGTACAATCCCATTCAGACCCTGCTTTCTTACCTTTATGATAAATTACGCAGGCAGTGGTAGTTGTAAAAGGCTGAAGTGGTGAGAATGGAGGGAAGGAAGAATGAGGGGTGTGTTGGGGAGTAAATCAGTGAGTGAACCACAGATGAGCACAAAAAGACACGTGCCCTGCTGCAGAGGGAAGAGGGGACGTTTGCCTAAGGGGATGTTCCCCTCAGCACCTCTTCTGAGGTGCCTGTAGGTACAAGAGGTATGCTTCCCTTGGATACTCCTAGCTTGTGCTTAACCCGCAGTGCTGCCTAAGGACACGGGGGTTGTGCTTTAACTTGATTGTTGTGAGGTTGAGGGTTTTTGGTTCCATTTCCCCTCCACACATACACCCAATAACTTGCAGGTTGGAGCCCTGAAATGCTAGCATTTTTCTCTGCTGCTGTGGGATGCAGCTCAGTGAAGTACAAAACCTTGCATTTAGGAGTAACTGGCTAGAAGACAAGAAGGTACTGGCCAGGCAGAAAATGAAGAAGGGGGAACACCTGACTTGTCAGCAACTTGGCAGGAAAGGATCTGGTGTTTTTGGGAATGGTGAGCTGAAAGCAAGTCAGTGATTATGGTGCTGTGAAAAAGGTAAGGGGCATCCTAGGGAATAAAGTAGGAATTTAGCCAGTGAAATGCAATGAACTTGGTATCTTCAGTACTAATGAGGCTTCTGCTGGATTTCTGCACCCTGTTTTTGTCCATGTTTCAAGAGAGAGTAAAAGGAAGATAAACAAGAGCAACCAGAAGTTTAGGAATCTGTGGGATGGCTTCCCTGTATGACTTAGTAACATTGTCACTTCAGAGTAAATGCAACTTGAGTGATGTTATCCAGAAAAAAGGAATATTCTAGATATAGGGTAGCAAATGCAATCAGGAATGTTTCCCTCCATCCCAGGTTTCTAGCAAACTAAACTCTGGTTTTGGGCTTTGCAGCTCTCATCTTTTGCCCCTGCAGAGACCAAGGTGCTGAGCTGGAGTGCTCCCGAGCTGGAGCTGCAGGCATTGGAGGCTTAGCAGCCCACTGTCTGGGAAGGACTGGCCGCAGAAACCGCTTAGTCTCTCTCTTTCTCTCTGGGTCATTTCAAGGTCCTGCTCTTAATCTTCAAAGCTTTTAATTTTCTGAGATTAGGCTCCTCAGGACCTGCCTCTCTGCCATGCCCAGGCTGCTGTGCTCATCAGGGTCACTGAAGCTTGCTGAACTCTGAAGGATTTAGTAGCTGGGTATTCATGGCATTTGTAAAATTTTAGACCCTAAGCTGTGGAAACTCCTATTAAGAGTGACCAGAATGTCCTGCAGTCCGTCTGTTTTCAGTGTCTTTTTGCTAAATGTTCCTCTTTGCCTGGGCAAAACTGTAAAGATTTTTTTTTTTAAAACACACTGCTGAAAGCAGGCATAAATAAATAAAACATGCAAGAAACACAATCTTACATATTTTTATTGGCGTGAGAGGCTGTGCAGGTATCTGTTTTCTCTTGGAAGGATTGGATAAGCATAGTGAAAAATAAGAAGGATTTTTCTACGAGAGAAGAGGAGGATGGTGGCAGTTAGGTTGGAGGTTTATGATGTGTGTCTGTAAATAACAGGCATAAGAAACACATGCACTCATACACAATTTCAAATGAATCCTCTTCTGTTACTGAATATAATGAAAAGAGGCTTTTGGTAGTTGCTATCCACTCCAGCAGAATCTAAACTTCTGTTTAGGGAAGAAAACCCAACACACGTGCCCTCTTAGCCTGTAGGGCTAACTCTGAGCAAAACGTGGACGGCACTGTTTTCCTGTGTCCACAACTCTCACTGCTGCCATTTGCACCTTTGGGAATAGCTGTGGGATTCAGGTGAATCGGATTGTTTTTATATGGGTTTTTTTATTGGGACGGTCAGGATGAACAACTGGCCAAGCAATGCGGCTGGCCCTGCAGAAGGTGTCGCGACCAGGAAATGGGTCAATAAGCACGTAGGAAAACTGCCTTTCTTTTCAAGTCTGGCATGTATTCATGGCTTGTTTGCTGCTTGTGGTTTGGTGGTTTTTTTTGTTTCTTGCTCCCAGCACAAGTTACTTTGTGGATGCTTAATTGTGTGAGGAAGTAATGTGGAGGTAGTTCAGGTGGGCTGGCTGTTTTGTTAAGGTGCCCGTGACAGGTAATGCTCTTTTCTTTTCTTTGCTTGTGACTTTATAGAGCGAGCAAGAATTGTCAAGAAGTTTATGTATTTAAATTACCATATAATTGCCCAAGTTCTTTTTATGGGCATGTCTTAACAGGCCCTAATGGTAGCCCACAAGGTAACACAGTCCTAAACTGCAGAACACAAAAGCTTCCTCAGACAGCACGCTGCGAGCAATGGAGATTTTTTCGACTAATATGTTTTCAAGAGTTCTGTTCAGCAGATAAATTGTTTTAAACTACTTCTGACAAATCACTTTGGCGCTGATGTTTTTGCATTCCTTCTAGACACCCTGTCCCAAGCCATTTTTGCTGGGTGAGTCCCCTTTAAGTTGGATGCCAGACGTTTTCCCTCTTGATGCTGCTGTTCATTCTGGGCTCAATTCAGAATCTGTCAAAAGCAATGGAGTCAGGCAGGGATCTTTAATATTCTTTTCCTGCTTATGTACTGTATTTTTTGCCGGCTTAGACTTTGTGATTAGCACAATTGTGAGAATGAAAACTTTTTGTCACTTTTTTACGT